TATATATATATATATATATATATATATATATATATATATATATATATATATATATGTGTGTGTGTGTGTGTGTGTGTGTGTGTGTGTGTGTGTGTGTGTGTGTGTGTGTGTGGTGTATGTGTGTAAGCATGTATGTATATATATATATATATATATATATATATATATATATATATATATATATATATATATATATATATATATATATGTATGTATATATATATATACATATATATATATATATATATATATATATATATATATATATATATATATATATATATATATATACATATATATACATATATATATATATATATATATATATATATATATATATATATATATATATATATATATATATATATATATATATATGTATATATATATGCATATATACACATGTACATATAAATACATACATGCACGCATACCACCTACATTTATATATATATATATATATATATATATATATATATATATATATATATATGTATATATATATATATATATATATATATATATATATATATATATATATATATATATATATACATACCACCTACATTATATATATATATATATATATATATATATATATATATATATATGTGTGTGTGTGTGTGTGTGTGTGTGTGTGTGTGTGTGTGTGTGTGTGTGTGTGTGTATACACACATATAATGTGTGTGTGTGTGTGTGTTGTATGAGTTTGTATGTGTGTGTATGTGTGTTTACAATAAGCATACTGATAAATATACATATAAATATGCGTGAATATATGCATATAAACATACATACATATGTGTGTGTGTGTGTGGTTGTATGTGTGTGTGTTTTCGCTACGATTTCTGCTATCTTTACTACTATTTAGATCAATAACCTTATCTACACTGCAGTTGTCATTTTCGTGATTATTGTTATCACTAACATAATTTTATTATTTTGTCGAAGAAGACATTTTTCAAGCATTATTTCATGATAATCAAGAATGCCAGAACAGGAAAGGAAGATGATTAAGGAAAATTAGAAGATAATAAAAATGGAAGTATGAGAGAGAGAAAGACAGAGGAAGAGGGAGGGAGGGAAGGAGAGAGGTGGTGGAGAGGGAGGGAGGGACAGAGAGACAGACCGGCAGACAAACAGAAACAGATAGACAGACAGAAACAGACAGACATACATAGAGACAGACAGAAAAAGGCAGACAGTCAGACATCATTCACTTCCTAGCATAATAAAGAACCAGATAACATGCTGCCCCCCCCCCCCCTGCTCTTTATCTTACGGCCCCCATTTACCTTATCTCTCTTTTACCTCTCTCCTCTTAGTACTATTGTCATCAGTATCATCACATTCATCATTCTTGCACTGTCCTCATTTTATCACTATAGTTAAAATCAACAATAATTAAATTCTAATATTATTACTCTTATTCTGTGAATTCTTATGTAATTATCGTCATCAGTGTTTTTATTTCTGATATCACTATTATTACCTTTGTAACTATTAGCATTGTTATTATCACCTTCGCAGTTATCATTACTTGCAACGTTAATTCATTTATGATAATAAGCCCCATCCTCACTGTTGCATAAAATTGCAAACACGCTGTTTGTCTCTAGAATGACCGGCATTTTAACAAGCTTTAAAAAGAATAAACAGTAACATTTTTTTTTAACTATTATCCTGCAAACAATACATGCTGAATATGCAACATTGCACCTTAACAAGCTGTTTATAAAATCCACGAAAAGAGAGAAGTTGAACCATATACCAATGAATGGATTGCATAACTCTATCTTCTGTTAATCCGGATTAGAATTGAGCATAGTCCCTTTAAAACTGCATTTTTATTTTGATCTTGTTGACAAACTCATTGCCTCGCTACTGAGGTCAGATAAAAAAGTTATATGCATTATAGGGAAACCAGGTCACGTAGCCAAATTGAGTAAACATCAACAAGGCTAAAAAACAAACATCCAAATTTTACATACACACACACACACACACACGTGTGTGTGTGTGAGTGTGTGTGTGTGTGTGAATGTGCGTGTGTTTATGTGTGTTTATGTGTTGATATAGATATAGATATAAGGATAGGTATAGATATAGATATGTGTACATGCACCCGCATTTACATATTCATTTATACATATTCACACTACATAAACACAAAAAAATGCATTAACCGCTCTACATATTCATAAGCGTCCATATCGCTAAACCGTAGAAATTACCTCAAAAAACAACTCTTTTCACAATGAATCCTTTTCTGCTGTACAAACACTACTTTTTACCGACAAGAGCGTGTGACAACAGAGTCCGGCTGATGAATCAAACCATTTACACGTTCCACTACAGTGTGAACAGCATGTCATTCTTTCTTTTTATCAAAGCATTGGAAAGTTGAATTTATGAAGGAATATCCTGCGATTGGTATTAAGATGGTCGCAGTCGATGCTGACACGCCATGAGGTCTAATAATTCATTTTGACCTTTGCAG